ACAGAATGACACTTTAAACTAAATTTCAACTTCTGCAAGTATTGATTGAGTCTTCTTACTTCTTTCTAGTTGCTTCTCTTTGCCTGGTCCTTTTTCAAGGCTGTTTGTCAACCTTTGGTGTCTGTCTGAGTCACCCAACTCTTAACTGTGGCTCCAAGAAGCTACAACATGTGCAGCAGCCACATCCAGTAAAACTATGTTGAGAGACTGACTAAGATTGAGGGTAACTAGTGGGCCTCAAATCCATTGGTGAGGTAGTGGGATGTCTATCCCAAGCATGTGAAGATTTTCCCAGGTAGAATGGGCAGATGAGAACAGTTTGTTCTAACAATCATGCAGGCAGCTGAAGCAGGCACTGTGGAATGCTTAGAGGTTGGGTAGACATCAAAGATGCCAAAGTCATTCACTGCATCCCAGGCCATCACCAGGTGTCTTGACTTTTGTCCTGCCACTGGACTTCATTGAATCAGGAAGAGTGAGGCTGATGACTTTGTGCAGCTCTGCTTCACTTAAATCCAATTCACCCATGAATCAAGACATCACCCTGTGATGTCATTGGTCCTCCTCAAAAACAAAGGACAAGCCAAGCTGCCTAATCATACTTTCAGGATAGTTGGGGAGATGTTGCAAAGAGGAGGTAGAAAATAGCTCTGCATCTTGGACATCTAGGAATCTTTAGACAAAGGGGTAGTAGGCCTGGGGGGAAAGGCAAGACCTTTGCTTAGGCTTCTGGGTAAGCAGACTTGTGTTTAGGTCTGCTGGGCTTTGGGCCCCAGGGCTTTAGCTAGAAGATAAAGTCCTGTTCCTTAGGGTCATGCCATATTCTGCTTCCAGTAGCTCCCAGGAATAGGTTTTTGGCATCTCTGATAGTCAGCTTCTTACTTGCTTCATTCATTCATTAATTCATCCATCCATCCTTCAGTTTGTCATATGTGTTCTGTTGGCTCTGACAAGATGGGTTCCCAGAGGGTGGTTACTATATTTCCCATCAAGATTCTAGGGGTAGTGCCTGAGGGGTTGGGAATTTTTAATGCTTTAGTTCATGAGCCCCTCCTGGTGTGTTTCCCTGTATGATTATCAATTGACAGCAATTAATTAAAGGTTCTGCTCTCCCCCCCACTCCTACCCCAACCCATTCCCCTTAAAGTAATTTCTTTTCAGGAGCTTGGCTAGAATTCTTTCTCCTCTGAGATACCACACTCAAATGCTTGGGTTCTGAGATTACTTGCTATTTTATTGGAAAATCCACAGGGTACGTCCAAGTCTCCTCAGACAACACCAATATACCTTACTAAAATGTCACTTCATTTCAGCGCATTTTGAAATCGGATTCCTTCACTCCTTCCAAACTGATTAACTAGCTTGCTTCCACCTAGTCTCATGCCAATGATTGATTGATTGATTGAATAGCCGTATTCTCAACTGGTTAAGGTATCAGTTTTAGAGTATCAGTTACTTTAAGTTGGGTGGAATGATTAATTGATTGACTCAATCAGCACCTTCCACACACATTCAATAACTTAGGAGAGACAGTGAAAAATAAATGAAGAATACAAGTTCCAAATCTATCACTTACTAGCTCTTGGATTTGTTTCATCTTTAAAATGAGAGAGTGGAAATAAATTACTTCTAAGGTCCTTTCTAGCTTTCATATTCTATGGTTCTACCAATTAATCCAGAAACATTTACTAAGCACCTACTTAGTGCCAGGCACTGTGCTAGATATTGGTAACACAAATACAGAAAGAAAAGAAAGAAAGAAAGAAAGAAAGAAAGAAAGAAAGAAAGAAAGAAAGAAAGAAAGAAAGAAAGAAAGAAAGAAAGAAAGAAAGAAGAAAGAAAGAAAGAAAGAAAAGAAAGAAAGAAGAAAGAAAGAAAGAAAGAAAGAAAGAAAGAAAGAAAGAAAGAAGAAAGAAAGAAAGAAAGAAAGAAAGAAAAAGAAAGGAAAAGAAAAAAGTAATCCCTACTCACAAGTAGACTACATTCTAACAGGGGCCACAATAACTATGTGTATGTGAGTGTAATACACATACACATGTGTATATATACATATGTGTATATTAGATATTCACATGAATATATACATACATACACATGTAGACATGCACATATATATCTGTATTTACACATGCACATAACTATAACAGAATAAATATGAGAATAAATAAAATAAATTCAAAATAGATACAAAAAGTTTGGGAGGAAGGGCACTAGCATTGGGGGTGGATCGAGAAGGGCTTCATGGATAAGGCAGTGCTTGATGTTTGACGATGAAAGAAAAATTCTGCAAGATGGAATTGAGGGAGGGAGAGCATTCATCCACAGGGGATGGTGAGTGCAAAGATACAGAGACAGAAGATGGAATGCCGTATGGGAGAAAAGGAGATAAAGCTAATCTGGCTGGACTGAAGAGTGGGGATTGGGGAGTAATATCTAATGGAGCTGGAAAGATACTTTAAGGCCAGTTTGTTAAGGGTTTTAAAAGCTAACTAGAGGAGTCTAAATTTCATCCTGGAAGCACTAGGGAGCCACTGGAGTTTATGGGGGGGAGTGACATAATCAATCTGTGCTTAAGGAAAATCACTTTAGTAGTTGTGTGGATGATAGACCAAGTTGAGGAGGGCAGGGGAAATGAGGCAGGGGGACCAATTAGGAGGCTGTTGTAATAATCTAAGCAACTAGTGCTAAGAGTCTGAGTTTAAGATGGCGGTTATATGAGTAGGGAGAAGGGGTCAGATTAGAAAGATATTGTGGAGATTCAAAGGACAAGCTTTAGCGAGGGATTGGATATGTGGAGTGAGAGAAAGTGAGAAGTCTGAGATACAGCTGAGGTTGCAAACTATGATTCTATTTATTTAGTCCCTACTATGTGCAAGCACTACATTAGGTGGTGGGGGAGGGTGCTTGGTACAGGGTAATACATAGAGAATGACATATGCTTGTACCTTCATGGAATTTACAGTCTAGATGAGGCAATATGACACACACCACTGGGTCCTTTACCTTCACGGGAGAATAAACAAACAAGCAAGGCCAGCCTGCTAGTACCAGAGATTAGTGAAGGAGTAAAATACCCATTTCAGGTAAACAGAAAGCTGGCCTGAGCTCAAATTCAGGAATTCACAGATGCAACTAAGGCTCAGTAGCAATCTTGAATAAAGGATTAGAGCCCAAAGGTCCAAAGCTGGGGAGAGGGCCATATGCAGTAAAGAAGATCAGAAAAATGCCATAGAGAAGGCAACATGAAGTCTGCCTGAGGGACAGATTGCCTTGGCTGCAGACCGACAAGTCCTTTTGTGACTGATGGCAGGATAGCCACACACCTCCTCCTCTCAGTTTCTACAGTATGTCTGTGGACCTGAATGAGTATACAAAGATTTGGTAACTATACAATAACCATAATGCAAAGCAGACTGATAGGAATGATATGAACATGAGAGAAGTGTATAAAAGAGCTATGAAATGTCTGAGAGCTCTGATGGATTGTTCCCATGGAGAGGGTGGAGAGTGGGATGGGGATGGAGAAAATATCGTGCAGGAAGAAGCATTTGAGTTTTGGAAGGATGTCTCACAGTCAGAGACTGGAAGGAGAATCCAAGCATAGAGAATGGTTTAAAGAAAGGTGTGGAGACCAAGCAATGTTTGTCCTCCAGCATGGAGATCCTTCTAGGAAGAAGGAGTGGTGAGTGATGCCTTCTGACTTCGTCCCTCAGATATCCTGAATGACTGCCACCAACTGTGTTTGCACAGATAGAAGCTGGACTATACAGAGGTATTTGGGGCTGTGCGTAACTTGTTTGGGTGCCCAACTTAAAAGGAAAGATGACCTGTCTGGGACTCTCCTGGTCTTGAAGGGTTTCAGGTGAGAGTTGCCACATGGCAACCCAGGTTTCTAGAGAAGGATAATAGTCACTAGCACTTTGTTGACAACACTCATATTCAGTGCTGCAAGGCAGTACGTTTTCTACATTGTCCCTATTTTCAGAACCTTCTATATGTTACAGAGGCAGCATGGTATAGTGAATAAAGAGTTGGATTTAGAGCCAGGCTGGATTAAAATCTAGTCTCTGACACATACTAGTGTGACCCTGGACAAGTCACTTGACTTCTCCACACTCTAAGTAATGCTCTCTAAGACTATAAATTGCAGATAAGTTTGCATTGGTAGAGGAAGATTCCTCACTTGAGAGTTCTCTAACCAAAAGGACTCACAGGTCCAGTTCCTATCTTTATCTGCATGCTACAGCTCTAACTCATATGATCTTGGGACAGTATTGCTAAATAATATAATTCCTACAGGTGGCCTCTTCATCACATCTTCTAATACTCTTCTTGTGAAAGTGTTTGAATTAAAATGTGGTTTCCTATCTTTTAGAACAACACTTAACATTTATTAAGCAGCTACTCTGTGTGTGTGTGTGTGTGTGTGTGTGTGTGTGTGTGTGTGTGTGTGTGTATTGAGCACTGTGCTGGGTGCTGAGATGCCAAGTTTAGATAAGAAACAGTCCCTTCCCTCAAGGAGCTTACAGTCTAGTGGGAATACAAGATACCAACACATAGAAATAATACACAAAATGTATTGCTGAGTAAGGCTTGAAGCTATTTTGTATTCTGCTGGTATATACATACTCCTTCTTTAAGAAAATTTGATGTATGACACTCTGAAATCTCAAAACAAAGAAATTAGTGCATGTGAATACACTCTTTTGAAAAATATTTTCTATATTTTAGCATGTTTTCATTCTAAGAGGGACACTGGGTCTTTTAGAGAACATTTCTAAGGAACTCTGTCAAACAAGCCAATCTGTTTAAGTTGTAGGTTGTAAGAGCAACTTTCAGTCCTAAGAGAAATACTACCATATTTAAAGGGTATCCAGGTGGCACAGTGGGTACACAGGGGCACAGAGTGCCAGGCCTGGAGTCAGGAAGACTCATCTTCCTGAGTTTAAATCTGGCCTCAGACAATTATTTAGCTGTATGACCCTGGACCAGTCATTTAATCCTATTTGTCTCAGTTCCTCATCTGTAAAATGAGCTGGAGAGGGTGCCATGTTATTCAGTCATGTCCAAGTTGGAAACAACTGTATTGGATTTATATTCGGAATTCACTATGATGCCATATGCAAACTTTCATCCTCACTACCCACACTGACATATGCACATTTTAAAACACAACTGTGTTATACCTGGCTATACCTCAGCTCCCCCATTCCTCTCTCCGTGATGAATGACCCAGGGTTCAAGTTCTGTGTGCCTCCTTCCCTGAGAATCCTAAGGGGTCCCTAAGCAGTACTTTTTGCTGTTACTTGATTCTTGCCTGAAATGACTAGACTCAGGTGTTCTGGGTGATAAAGAGCTGGAAGTAGTGCAAATCTGGGTCATGATGGGTTGGCTGATAGAAGCTCCTGCAGATACTTCTTTTCCTTGAAGAGAAGAATGTCAAGTTCCTTTCTTCTGCTTAAAGATAATCATATAGCTTCCCACTATCCACGTGGAGATCCAGTTATGGTCAGGGTCACCCCTCTCAGATCTGGCCAGATGAAGGAAGGAAACACAAAGGGGTTAGGAGAAAACAACTATCAACTCTTACTCCCCTCCTCACCACTGCCATACTCCTGGAAACCTGGAAGGTCTATTTTTGCCCTACCTCAATTGCCCCCACAGTGTGCCCAATTCTGTTCCCGAATAGGGAGCATAGAAGGGGCCTATCTCAGTCACTCTCTGGGCTAACCTTTTGTGCTGGTCCTTGCCTTTCCTGATGCCATAGCTGTTGTTAGCAAGCATCTCCTGCCATTCCCTTGATATTATTTTTGTATATATCCTATATTTACTAATCTGTGAGCGTGTTTTATTCCCTCAGCAGAATGTAAACTTAGTTATGTTCTCCTTGGCAATAACTGTCCCACTTTTGTATTTTTATCCTACCAGTTCCTGGCACATAATAAAAATAAGAAAGCAACAAAAATCATCCATATTTCTGTATATTATTAATAAAACCCAGCAGGAAGAGCTAGAAAAAGAAAGCTTATTTAAACCAACTATAGAATCTATAAAGTATTTTGGAGTCACTTTACATACCTAGGACTTAGATGAATGTAACTATAAAACACTTTTTTTATAGAAATAAAGAAGACAAACAATTAGAGAGGCACGAGTTGCTTATGGTTGCAACATGTCAACAAAAATAAAAATGGAGACATTACCTAAATTAATTTACAGATTTGCCACACCAAACTACTATAACTCTATACAAAATAACAACAACATTTATCTGGAAGAACAAAAATTCAAGAACGTTAAGGGAAATTATGGAGAAAAGTAGGAATTAACTGGATTTAGCAGTATCAAATTTAAAACTCTACAATAAAGCAGTTGTAGCCCATACAAATTCTGAGGATCCTTATCCTAATCCTCACTCTCACTGACAAATAGAGTTCTCAGGGCTAGGACTGTCTATGTCTCCCCCTCGGGAGTACCACTGAGGAGAAATGGGGTGACTGTATAATATCATACTCTCAGGACCACAAAGTTGGGACCCCCCCAGATTATTGGTTGAAAAATCAATTAGTAAGCCAGCTTTAAGTAATTTTAAAAAGGGATATTTACTAATGGCAAATTTACTAATGGTATCTGGAGATACCATAATGGGAGAAGGATGGAAAGTCTAGTATTCTCTATACCTTTGGAAGTTGGAAAGGTCCTCCCTCCAGCCAAAGGAGAAGAGAGAAAAAGCCCTGGCCAAGACTGAGGCTGGAGCCTCTCCTTCCACCAAGGCATTTCCTCCTCAGGAGCAGGCTGAAGAGTCACACTTGCTACAATTTCTGGAATTCTTCCCTTCTCAACTTGCTTGATAATTTATAGATAATCCTTGGAGCATAACCAAATTCCTTCAACCTATCCTACTTTAAATTTTAGGCTTTATTTCTCTAAATTAATACAAACCTATTTTCTGTCTCTCCAATCTAAATACCATTACCATCCCACATAGAAGGAAAGAAAAATTAAACCCTTATAATAAATATGCATGATCAAACATAACAAATTTTCCCATTGATCATGTCCAAAAAGTGTAATCTCAGTCTGCCCCTTGAGTCCATCACCTGGCAGCCTGCTTTATCATTAATCTGTGGGAATTGTTGTAGGTCATTGTATTGATCAGAATTCTTAAGTTTTTCAAAGTTGCTTGTCTTTGAAATATTGTTGTTATTATATAAATTGATCTCCTTGTTCTGCTCACTGCATTATGCATCAGTTCATACAAGTGTTTTCAGCTTTCTTGGAAACTATCCTTTTCAATATTATTATTATTATTATTATTTTTGGCTAGGCAATTGGGATTAAGTGACTTGCCCTGGGTCCCATAGCTAGTAAGTATCAAGTGTCTGAGGCTGTATTTGAACTCAGGTCCTCCTGACTCCAGAGCCAGTGCTCTATTCACTGTGCCACCTGGATGCCCCTTTATCATTTCTTATAACCATAAATATATACCATAATTGTTCAGTCATTCCCCAGTTGATGGGTACCCCCTTAGTTTCCAGACAAACATAGTTCTTGTACAATATCATCCTAGGCATTTAGCATTTAGTCTAAAGCCTATGAGTGATTAATTGAGATGTTCTTAAGGTATCAAGGCTAAAATGAAATGGGGAGGTTTCAATCTCCTCCTTATACAGTGTGTAAGGATCATTAAACAATGTGGTTCTGGCTAAAAAATAGAAGCTAATAAATGAAATGGATTAGGTAAACAAGTCCTATACACAATTAAACATAGTATAGCATTAGATAAACCCAGGGATACTTAATACAGGATTAAGGACCCCTTGTTGGATAAAAATTACCAGAAAAATTTGAAAATATTTTGGTAGCATTTGGGTTTAGATCAATACTTTATGCCATATATCATCATAAATATACAAGATCATATCATTTTTAAAAATTGGAAGACAAAGGAAGGAAAAATCTTTTACAACTATGACTAAGGGCTGAATTCTTAACTGAACAAAGGATAGAAATGATTATAAAAGACACAATTATCAATTTTGGTTAAAATTAAAAAGCTTCCATACAAGCAAAATAAATGCAGTTAGAATCAGAAGGGAAACACTCTGAAAAACAATATAGAAAATTTATCAGATCTAATATCCAAGATGGATATCAGTCTAATTTCCAAGATGTACAAGGAAATGATAAAAATATCAATCAATCAGCGATCATTTAGTAAGTGCTTACTATATGCCAGGCACAGAGAACATAAAGAAAAAGTACAAACCATTCCTATACTCAAGGACCTTACCTTCTAATGGGAGACAACACATACATAAATAGGCACATACAGTATAAATGAAAAATAGATGGAAGATAGCTTTAAAGGAGACTATAGAAGAAAAAGATCCATTCTCCCACAGATTGATAATTGCTCAAAGGATTTAAACCGACAGTTCTGAAATAAAAAAAACACAAACCCTTTGTTTTTATAACTACTTGTTATTCTTGTTCCATCCCTCTCAATCCAACCTCTCCCAACATCCCACTCTAAAGCTACTTAGCCAGCCCTTAGTACAGTGCCTGGCACATAGTAAGCACAGTTGACTGACTTATTTTCACTGTAGGCTTCTGAATGCTTAAAACATTTCCTTTCACACTTGCTCCATCTTCTTGCATTCATGGAAAGTTACTTCCTCCTGATGATGTTACTTTCCTAGCTACTCTTTCCAGCACTGGTTACATATTCTTTATGCCCCAATAAACAGGTTATTTTGGGAGAACACTCCTTACCCCCACTGCCACTTCCAGACTTTCCCTTTACCACCATCATTCAGTAACCTTTCTTCTTTTGAGTTTCATTCAATCCATATTTATTACCATGCAAGATTCCACTAGATGCAATCATCAACCTACTAGGATACTCCTTTCCTCAGTGAGTTCAGTGCTTGGCTCACAGTCTATCTCTCTCAACTTTTGCCCTCGTACTAGGAGACTTGAACACACATATTGACACTCTCTCAAATACCCTGACATCCCAGTTTCTCAATTTACTCATTCCCTATTCTTCCACCCCACCTCAGCTACACACAGAAAGTTATACCCTTGATCATACAAGTGCCCCACTTCCATGGTCATGAACTCTGAAATTCCTTTATCTGATCAGAATCTATAGTCATTCCACCTTTCCCTCTGCCTTGCAACCCATAACCATGTTCTTAATTCTTACCATGACCTCCAAACTCTCTACATCTCAGTTCTTTCCTGGGTCATCATCCCTGAACAGGCTATACTCTCCTTCATTGCGCATCTTGACTCCTTGGTAAACTAGTCTTCTCCCCTCAAGTCCTTTGCCCCTAGATACTATCACTAATGTTGCCCTGCCAAGCCTCTGCCTGGGATTACTCCCACCACCCTCTGCCATTACTTCTACTCATTTGCTGTTGAAAGAAGCTGGAGAAAATCACAAAACTGTGTGCTACAAATTTATGTTACATAATCTCATCTGAGCTTTCACTATGGCAAGGCAATCCTTTTACATCTTGCTAATCAATTCACTATCCTACTCACCTCAGCAACTTTACTAAACCTTTTCATCTATCCTCAAGCCTCTCACTTCTCTTCTCTCCACCTTCTCAGCTGAGAAACTTGCCTAATATTTTACTGAAAGCATTGAGACTATTTGTCAAAAGCAACCTCTGATCCCCTCCTCCTCATCTCACATTACTCAGATGCCTCTGCCACTGTCTCCTCTTTCACCTTGCCTCATATGAAGAAATGGGCCTTGACTACACATACAAGTGATCCATTCCATCCATTCTTTTCCATCAGATTACCACCTCTGTCATGTCCATTTTCTCACTAATCTCTAATCTCTCCATTTCTACTGGATGCTTCCCTGATGCCTACAAGCATGCTCATGTCTCCCTCAACTTCAAAAAGCCCTAGTTCCATCCATCCCCCATTATCTATCATCCTCTATTTCTCATCCCTTTCATGGCTAAATTCCTTGAAAAGGGCATCTACAATTGATGCGGCCATCTCATTTCCTCTCTCTTCTTAACTCTCTTCATTCTGGTTTCCCACATTATCATTCAACTGAAACAGCTCTCTCCAAAGTTGCCAGCGATCTCATAATTGCCAGATCTAAGGGCTTCTCAAACTTCATCTTTTTTCAATCTTTTTCTCAATCTTAAACCTCTCTGCAGGCTTTGACTCTGTTAATTACTCTATTCTCATTGATATTCTCTTCTCTCTAGGTTTTCAAGACACTGCTTTCTCTTGGTCATCATTTTTTTCTGGATAATCTTCCAGGTTCTGCTCACTAACCCAGGGTGTAGCCTGCAGCTCTTTCCTGGGACCTCTTTTCTCTCCATATTATTTCACTTGATGATTTCATCAGCTTCCATTAATTCAATTATTATCTCTATGGAGATGAGTCTCAGATGTTTGTCCAGTACTAACCTCTTTCCAGACCTCCAAGCTCGCCTCTCTAATTGCCTATTGACCAACAAGAACTGGATATCCCGTAGTCATCTTAAACTCAAC